GTGGAGACACACGACCCGTGTCTTGAGCAACACGGGTCGTGTGACTTAAGGAAAATTTTTATTTTTTCTTACGGATTTTTCACACGGGTCGTGTGATAGGATCACAGGGGTCGTGTGGACTCACACTGGTCGTGTGACTTTGTCACACTGGTCGTGTGACTTAATAATTTTTTTTTTATTATGTTTTAATTAATGTGATGAATGGGATGATCATGAGCCTCATATTCAATATGATTGAATGTCTATTTTATTATGCAATGTGATTGAATGGTTGACTTTTAATTCAATATGATTGAATGGTTTAATTTTTCAATAAGATTGAATGAATGTAATTTATCGAGACCTGCGAGTCTCTTAAGTTATGATTTGTAAAATTTTAAATTCTTGTATCGTTAGAGATTAGATCTAGGTGGAGACCGTTCGATGCAAAAGGCCCACGCTTGTGTGGGTAATTTTACAAGTTATAAAACTCGAAGGCCTGTGCTTGTACGGGTAGATAAAATAAATTGTAATAGAAGTAGTTCTATTTATTTATTTTATCACGTGCATAGGCATAGATCTATTTTGGCTCGAATGGATCGCATAGGCAAGGTCATGATCATCCACCGAATGCATGCATTAGATGTATGTTAGGTTTATTTATGTTTGTGATTCATGCGATGGATGAAACGGTAAATAAACGTAAAGATGGTAATCGATGAGATCTAAGGAACTCTAAAGAATTAATGAGATTAATTCATATCAAATCAATAATGGATACAAATAAGTTAGAACTTATTAATCCAGGCTTTCCATCAAAAGTAGACGACATGAGATGCTACGATGCTTTATCACTGACCATGAGTTGTGGGGTGGTTTTGTTGGAACCCATGAGGATCTCGATATGCACAAATCACAGACAAACATTCAACATAAACCTATGCGCAGCGGATCTAAAGGTTTCATGAAGAAAACTTACTGCTTAAAATTTATGTAGATCTGGCTGGCCCGGACAGTTGACCGCAAATCAAATCTTCTCGGAATCGAACAAACTTGACCAATCCGGAAAGCTGACGTCACGGCGAAGTCAACGGCGTTGACCGATCGGAAATCGGGCTTCTCACGCGCTCTCACGCGCGACGACAAACTCCAGCGACTGCTTCCTTGCGTCGGCGCGTGCGGGCGCGTGCGGCGGCGTGCGGCGGCGTGCAGCGGTGATCTCGACGGCGATCTCTTCGTCTCGTCGTCCT